GGGGGGGGGGGGGGTCTGATGAGCACTATTACTCCTTGGCAAAAACCAAAGCCTGTTGAGCAAGGGTTCTTGTGCCAAAGACACAAAACGAAGCTAAAAGGGGCTGGGGCCCTGCAACTCCTGGTGGAAATTTTGGTTTTTTTCAAGCATGATAATACCTTGAAATAGTTCATATAGCAGGGAGACAAGTTTGAAGTCATCATCACTAATTGATAAAACTTATTCAACATAACCATGCACAGGCACATTCATTGTGTTACAGATCTTTTCTAGTTTATTTATTTTGTGTTTCCTTTGCAGGCAGCCAAAATATGTAACAACATGTTGTTGGCAGTATCAATGATAGGGACATCAGAGGCCATGAATCTAGGCACCAGGTATGTACAGCTATAAACATCCTCGAAACGCCAGGAGTTCCGCTTACTTATGTTCTGTGAACACTTAGAGTTTGTCATGAAAAAAAATAAGGCTATGTATGTGTGGATAATAAAGTAGACTAGTTTGATCCTGTGGTGTACATCAGTAAAATCATGCGGCAGTGTAACGGTATCATTGACTGAATTTAATGTCTGGATGCCTCTCCTCAGTAATCTTTGAAGGACAAGTATCAACCTAGCGATTGAAACCAATCAAACAGCTACCCGAGTTTGTTGTAACATGTTTCAGGAGTGTAGAGAATATAAGTGAGCGTAACCCCTGGAATTTTGAGGATGAAATCTGAACAGACATAGGGCATTCAATTACATGGTGCGGATAAGATATCTGTAAAAAATGATCGATTTCTCCCCGGTATTTTCTATGCACCTTGTACAAAAATTTCAAGAAATCATAGCTTGAGGCTCATATGTTGATCTTTTAAGTACCAGTATCAACGATATCTTGTGGCACTAACAAGAAATTGACATAGTAGTGTGCCCATGCCAACAGCAAGTATTTTCATTTTCTCATAAAATCGTCTGAAAATGGTATATTTTCTCTGCATCATTTTTAGGTCACCTGAGCTTTGCTCAAGTGACCTATTCCAATCACTTTCCGTCCGTCGTCGTCCGTCGTGCGTAAACTTTTTACATTATCAACTTCTTCTCAAGAACCAGTGGATGGAATTTTTTCAAACTTGGTCAGAATCATCCTTGGTAGATGAGGCTACCAAATTGTAAAATTGGGATTCCTACCCCAACCCTAGGGGCCAGGGCGGGGCCCAAAAGGGAAAATTAACCAATATTTCAAAAATCTTCTTCTCCAGACTCAGAGGTATTACAGTCATTTTCTCTGCATGGATGGAAAGATCATCAGGGGCTTTATT